ACTAACGACAGCATCGCTTACTCGGTTGTCCCACGATATACCAGCAATGCTTCTTAAACACCTATGTTCGAAGACAAGTAACCTACGAACATCTACTCTTAACGGCCATGTTTCGCATCCATGTAGGAGAACGGATCGATGCGCAGTACACTAGTCCTTTGGTTAGCAAACGGATATCTCGCCTACGCCACAAATGGCATAAATAGGCAAAGGCAAATCGAGCCTTCTGTATCCGCGCTGAGATTTCGTCGCAAAACAGGCCATCAGTGCTAATGAGACTAACCAGATACGTGAAGTGGTCTACACGCTCGACTACTTCACTCCCTATCACTAGTTCAGGTGCCAATGCAACCCAATCCCGAAGCGAAATTTTGCATTTCGAGGGGGAAAACCGCATCCCGAACATGCTTGCATTGTTGCTTAGGGTGGACAGAAGACTGCATTTTGTCAGCATCTTCACCAAGTAGGACTGTGTCATCGGCATATTCTAGGTCAGTATGCGAGTTTTCTGGTAGAAGGTCAACCCCTGAAAAATCTGACGAGCTTAATGTTAACTCTAAGAGGATGTCTACGATAAAGTTAAACAAGAATGGAGAGAGTGGACACCCAGTAAGCCTCAAACAAATACGCGCTCGCACCAATGCATGATCTGAATCCAAACACGTGCCACAGTCCTCTATCGAACCCCTCCATCGGTGGCTGATGGCGATATGATCTAGTTGAGTCCAACGTTGAGACGACTTCGGGGGTCGCCAGGTCAAGAGATGCTTTTCCTTATGCTTAAAGTTAGTGTTTGCTAAGAATAGGCGGTTATCTGAGCAAAGTTGCAGCAGGCGGTCGCCATTGTCTGTTCTCTGAGCCACGACACCATTACATCCACCAAGATGTCTTCCCCCTACACTGAGTTTACCTACTTGAGCATTAAAGTCACCAGCCATTAATACTACATCGGAGCGCTTACCTTTTTAGAGAAGGTCCGAAAGCTTTCTGTAAAACTCATCTTTTACATCATCTGGGCTGCAGTCAGTGGGGGCGTAGGCAGATACGACAAAGAGGCAACGGCGAGTGTCCCTATCCTTCCGAGTCCTTACTGTCCCGTTTAGTCGGACGGCGCACAAGCGACTATCTACAGGGATCCAGTATAGAAGAGGTAGTTCTGCCCTATGACTCAATACTATACCTACACCAGCAAGACCCTGAGAAGCAGCATCAGGGCTACCGGATACACGAAGAGTAAATCGAGTTGCTTATTTATCTTGACATGGTGAGGTCAAGTGAATAATGCTACTCGGATCCTGTATGCGCGTTTCCGAGACGCAGCACACATCGATTGAGCGAGATTCTAAAGTACTAGCTAAGGAAGCCTGTTGCCATATTTGACGCAATGTCCGTACATTAAAAGCTCCATGTAGTCTAGAACGAGGTTTCAAGGACCAGGAATGACGTTTTGAGGATTCGAATCGTTTGCATCACAGATGCGGGGAGATAAAGGAATGTGAGTAGAGTTAGTTAGTGGTGGCGATAAGAGAGATGATATAGGGTGTAGGAAGGATTTGATTTCGGTCAATTTGCACATTTTTAGGGTCGACCTTTTCCAACACTTCCTTCCTTGTGAGAAGGCAGCATCGCTGCAGATGTTGGTTGTTCGAGGGAAACAGCTTATCGCTGTCACACCCCTCTGCACTCAGCAGTACCACTTTACTCTCAGACCTTGGGTAGCTGTTTTTAGTCTAATCGTTCTCCAAACGACCTGCCTGGCATGGTAGAACCTTCAGGAACATATGTTCAGGCCAGTATAGCTCGGTTGGGTCATGACGATAGGCAAGCCGGACCACCACATCAAGGTAGCAGCTACGGTCGAATGCCACCTTTGTGGCAGGCTAAGACGTCAAGAAACTAGAGAACTTGATCTCTTCCTAACAATAACTGTATTAGTAAGTGTTCTATGCTCACACTTAGAGCATGGGACTCCAGCAGCTATCAGTGTGCTGAATCTACCTGAGGTGTATCTTAAAAAAAACAGGACAAAACATATTTGACAAACACTGTCCTCGACACTTTATTACTCAGCTTTTGGATAAGTGCTGTGCTTCGTCAGCGAACATGAAGTTGAATTACTATATTGATTCAAACAAATACGACTTTCTTTGTGTAAGGTGCGATCATTCAACGAACTGACGAATCATAGTTTTAAACGTTCACCACCATTTTGACTCTGTGTGACTATTCTTTGTTTATTCACCGATCATAATCCTTCATGTTTTTCATAGGCGACATTGAATTTGTCGATTCTTGTTCACTTTTCCTCAGTTTAAGGTGTTTTTTATTGCACTCCTTTTCCTCTTTACGAAGACTGTTAATTTCTGTTTATTGTACAATATCAGTTTTAATTTACATGTTAGAAACAGAAAATTTATCAAACCAAAGAGCTTACTTTTTCTGCCATTGATCAAGCTGAGACTGTGTTCGACAGTTTAAAAGTTGGCTCAGAAATTCCTCTATAAATAAGTACTTCCTACAGTGGGCATAGAAATTAAAAACGGCAATTCGATATATGCAGCAATTGATAAAAGCGTTTTGTTATTAACAGTTAGTTTTGAATAGCATTCAAAAATATAAACTTTCAAAGTCAGTCGAAGATGAAAATTCTGCATTTTCGTGATTGTTAATATATCCCCTCGCAGTGATATTCACTTGATTTTTAACACGACAAAAAGTTGTAATTCTTAGGGTCGAAAAATGACAGTCCGAATGTCCTTCAGACAACAAATATTTTTGTATCAAACAAATTATTTCATGAGAGAATGTTTCATCTTGGTATCAATATCAAAACCAGGATGTAGATTTCCAAACATATCGGAAACAAGCTCAGTGGTAGATAAATTTAAGATGTTAAAGTTTCCCCACTAGAAATATTCGAAGTTGTAAGCAAATGGTCATTCGTTAGCCTCGATTTTCCGAGGCGACAAGGTGCTGCCTAGATTTTAACTAATTTTATCTTATGCGTAGTACCCAACAATTTTAAAAAATCAATGTTAATGTTCTTTTACAGGTATGACTTTAAAGGAATGATCGATTACGTTTTGTACACGCGACAGCACTTCCGACTTTTAGGGAGTTTAGATCAAATATGTGAACCATGGTTTCAAGAGAAAAAAATACTTGGTTGCCCACATGTTCATATTCCTTCTGACCACTTTGCCCTTTTAGTTGAATTGGAACTGATGCCAACACACGTTAATCCATCCCAAAATCGGTGTACTCATGAAAGTGATGCTTCTGAAGAGGATCCGAATGCGAATAGTAGCAATAATGGTGATAATGTTGGTCATTCACATTCGAATAAACAAGATTGTTTGCTTCCTTCAAATAGCTTTTCCCCTAGATACTAATTCAGTTAATGATCAAAGTTCTCATAACAAGTTCTAGAAACATTAACAATACTTTGCTCCATACTATTCGGTGTCATCTTTCAAGTTTTTGTCCGATTTATGCATTCCTTTATCAGTTTATTTATTTATTCTTCATGGTAAATATCATTGGTGCTTATATTTCCCAGTGTTGATGCATTCGCACAGATCTAGTCTTTTTTTCTAAAAGAGTACTAATAGCTTGTGTTCTTGAATTCTCTCTAATTAAATATATCATCATTGATGTTCGCTGTACAATTGCTAGTCACTATATTGCATTCTTTTTACACTACGGAAAATTTGTTTTATACACCATTTGTACACATAATCACTATATTCAGCTCTGCAGAATTTATATGATAGAAAACAATATTTTTCCAATCTGTCGAGTTCTTTTTCTCTACGACTCTATGTTTTGTATAAAACTAGTGTTAATAATCTATCATAATTTTTCTTGAAGAACCTACCCTTGTAAATAGTCTATAAACAGTATTTGTGACCATTATTGTTTTACAGCTTTTTCAGTTTATCAGTTGACTGTCGCATACCACAAACACATACCTACACTGTGTTCGATTATCTAGTAGAATACAGTTTTATTTTAATGTATGGTTTTTTTGCTTTGTAATTTTTTCATTTTACAGAGTTTCACCTTTAAAACACACCCTCCCGCTTTTACAATAGATATGTTCCAATTAACGTTTACAGGTAACTTTATGTTTTAAAAGGATAACAGCTGTCGTAATCACAGCACTACCATCAGGTGGTGGCAAATTTTATACTTGTTTCTTACACAAAGATGTAATTCTGATTTTGAGGTGTAATCAAACTGTCTATAGCTTTCATAGTAACTTACATATATTTGGAATCCCCTTTTCTTTCCACCTTGTGTATACCATATCCATGTATATACGAGCAATTATGCTAATACGCCCATGATTGGATTCTAACAATGTAAAAATATCCTATACTCTTAGCGGCCATGTTTCACGCTTGTAAATTAGAAAGGAGCAAACTGATGTGTAGTAGACTCGTTAGACCTTTGTATACCGCCATTAACGACACAAGTTGGAAAAAGCCAATCGTGCCTTTTGGAACTGTTCAGATTTCATCATCACTGATATGAATCCCAGGTGAAGCGTTCAACACGCTCAATTGGTTCACTCCTTATCATTAATTCAGGTGCCGATGTCAATCCTCAAGCAACATTTGGCATTTCAAGGTGAATAATCGCATCCCGAACATACTTGAATTGTTGCTCATTATGGTAGAAATCCTTGTTTTACTTGCTTTCTGGTTCCTAGCATACTTACTCAGAGACTTCTGATATCTAAGTGGTTCGTCTCTAATTTTCACAATACCTGACTGCTCTTTTATATTGGCCCAGTATACATGGTGTTTATTTAGAACACTAAGAAGCATTTTGCTAACATTGAACTTCAAAAAGCTGTCTGTTATCGTAATGCGTAAGATTCCTCATTGTTTCGAATGTATGACCAGACAAATCTTACATCGCTCTCAATTTTTAAACAAACGGAGAACTCGAATCTTTACCGTTTATGATCTTCGCATCAAAACTGACTACATCATATCATTCTCAGACAGCACTTATCTATCTTTCAGTGCATGGGTTTACTAACAAATTAATGAAATGTAACGAAAGAGACCCATTTCATCAATGAACAAATTAAAGGCAATTCATCAAAAAAAAATTTGTGGATATCAGTTACTTCAGCTGTACAATTAATTGTGTTTGTAGTTAATTTTATTCGGTAAAATAGAATGATGTGAAATAATAATAATTAAACTTGAAGTTGTATCATGTCATGAATCGTCTGTGGAAGCCAAATATAGAAATGGGGTGATGAAATCATCAGCTAGTGGGTACTTCAAAAATAACAAACTAAACATCGGGCTCCCAATATGTTTCATTAAATCGTTAGTAAACCCATTCACTGAAAGATTCACATCAGAAAGCTCGATAAACAGAACTGGAATTCAAAGTCAGTTACGCGACCAATTCAGAAGGAATTCAAAACATAAGAGACTTTCATACGCCGCATATACTTAAGTAGGGTATGATAAATTCACAATTTCAGCATATTTTTATGGAAGCTGCAATGCTCGAACCGATAACTTACTATTTATGTCGGCAAATACGTTCTTAAACAGAAGGTATTCAGATATGTATTGCCTGATGACTTCTGATTCTTCAAACAGGTACAGCAAACACAACAGAAATAAGAAATAATTTATTACATTACTTTCTGACAAAATTTTATAAATCCGATTTACATGTTCATGGTAAAGTGATTTCGGGAATCAGGTTTACTTTCTTTGCAAAATACATTAACTGACGAGCACGATATTGCCAGTAATTAGCTCGAATTCGATCTACTTCGCCGGCCAAACGTTTGCATAAACTGACAGCTCGGTCAAATATCTCTTTGGCATCATAACTGGTGTTGTCCAAACTATCAATATTGTCGAAACTATGGTGAGGATTTAGATAAACAAACAGATTAGGATTACAACAGTAGTTATTTTATTCAATTTTAAGAAATCACTTACTTGATTTAGGAGGAAAAACATAGGTCAAATTTACAATTACGTCTATTATTTCGAAAAGTTCTGTAAAATTCAATATGACAGAAAAACACCTGCAAGATTACATTATAATCAAACAAAATAAAATACTAATCCATCTTTTCTAAACTTATGGAACCGGCTTTAATTGAGCGAATTGTAATCAAGAGAAAATAAGGATTTACTTGGAATTATATAAGCTATGAGAAGGGATAATGACATAAGAGCAGATGGCCAACAAAGCTTCGCAAGAAAAGGAAAAAACAATTGAAATGAAAAACATGAAACTATGCCATGAGAACATTATGATATTTTTAATGTTCTCCAGAGTCATTCTGAACTTTTATTTATGCATATCGGATCGATTTGGTTCTCTGTAGTGTGGTCCAGTCTTGTCCACTACAACTTTAGCGTTTAGATTTCCCATATGAATAGTTAAATCATTTGGTGGGCATTTTTCGATTGCAGACTCATAGGATTGATTAATAACGCCTTCGTTGTCGTCAGTGGTGGGCGCTTGGAACTGAATAGCATTCATTGTAATCTCTTATTTATTTGTTTTGAAAGAGGGTTTGACAATTCTGAGTCCATCCTATGAGTGCTTTTTAGGTTTCTTTGGACAGCATCACTGCAATTCCGCGTGCGTGCGGCACTTTCCTCATCATGGTTGGAGTACAACAGCAACCCTCCCGCAGCTAATCTTTTTTTCCCAGCTAGTGTTCAATGTGTTTCACTTATTCCTAGAACCACTAGGTTGTATCTTTACGTTTCCACAGCAAATTGAATAGTTCTTCTAGTCTCCTAGAGTGTGCGAACATTCCATGAGCGTGAAATAATTGTTGCTCTTATTGTCAGAACATGTATCAGCCTCATGAATTCCGAAGAAACTCGGCATTCACTATAAGGCATAACTTTTCTAAATGAAGACCTTTCAACTCCCAGAGTTGAGTTAAAATGGTTAGCGTTGTCCTAGCGCGTTCGTTCCCTACGGGATAGAGTCGCTAATCTCATTCCGAAACCTACTCCTTTATCCGTGCTTGAGACCAGCAGTAGCCATATAATGGCTCCAAGCGGAGTGAAGATATGGATTAGCGAAGAAAGTGTAGCAGCAACTTCCGAAAAAATAGACCTCAACATACACATGGAAAAAAGCGAGAGCCTTGGATAAGGATCGAAGATATTATTCAAGAACAGTTCAGTGACATAAATTTAGAAAGAGAAAGATAGAGGTGATGACAAATTCAGAAGATTAGAATTTGAGAGAACACAAAGATTAGATGCACCTACGCCATTGTAAACGATTTTGAGCAGCCTCGAGGACCGTAACCAGGCAGTCGACGACTACGAACATGACTCGATCCACTTTGTTAGTGACTTCATGGATTTCTGGCATGTTTTGGTTTGTCCATCCCTAGCTTTCTTCCAACCTACTCCTACACCACAAAAGATAGCTCGTCGAGGCAGTCGGTGGTTAGGCATTCGTAACACATGTCCCAACCACATCAACTGACGAAGTTTCAATACTTCGTCTATTGATCTGCCTACTTACCTAGTACTCGTTTCCTAACGACAGCTTTACTTTGGCGGCTGTGGAAACATTTACATACACGGCCAGCATCATTGATAAACAAGGTGGATCTGATGTAGATGTAAAGACACGGATCGACAAAACAAGAGCAATATTTCTACAGTCGAAGAACATCTGGGACTTAAAACAACTATCAACCAACACCAAAGTCACAATCTTCAATACGAACGCAAAGACAGTTCTATTGTATGGAGCGGAAACATAGAGAACTATCAAAACCATCATCCACAAGATACAGATGTTTGTTAACAGTTGTCTTTGCAAGAGGTTGATGATTCGTTGGCCAGATGTCATCAGCAACAGCCTGTGGGAGAGAACAAACTAGATTCCAGCTGACGAGGAAATCAGTAAGCGCTAGAGTTGGATAGGACACCCGACTGCATCACGAGGCAAGTCCCAATTCGGTATCCTCAAAGTCAAAGGAAAAGAGGTAGACCAAGGAATAAATTGCGGCCAGAATCGGAGACAGACTTCAAGGGAGTGGATGGCAATTGGGAAGGACTAAAAGGAGAGCCTAGAAGAGAGTTGGTTAGAGAATGCTAATCGGCGACCTGTGCTGCATGGTGGGTAACAGGTGTATAGAAGTAAATTTATTGTATTTCCTAAACATGGTTGCTATCGAAGTGTCTTAACATACAAGCTACATGTAAATAAGTTTGAAAAAAAAATAACAAATGGATGAATGGTGAGAATAATAGATGTTAAAACCTATCCATACATTAAGCGATGAACATACCTGGGATGTATTTCATGTGTTGTACTACCTGATTTTTCAGTAAAATATGATTCCAAACGATCAGCATAAACCTCAACCAAGAAACTAAGCGGCGCTAAACAATCACCAGCTATTTGATTAGATGCTATTAATTCTTCTGCGAATTCTTGCATAAATTGAAGTTTAGATGTAATCTGTTGAATATTGGGATTCTTATCACCTAAAAGCTTGGGCGGTAAATCATGAACGTTTTTTCCGCTACGTACAATGGGCATCAACAAACCGTAAAAATAATTCCATGAACTTTCATTGTTCGGAGCAAAGGAGATACGTTTTTGAACAAAATCTATTTCCTAAAAATGATATATATATATATATATATATATATATATATATATATATAAATTGACGCGGACTGAAGTATTTTCACACTATTTATTTGCAAATAAAAATGGTTGATCATAATAATAAAATTAATAACAATAATAATATTAATAATAATAATATATTCCAGTTGTTAGAAGATATATATTTCAGAGAACACCCCATTATCAAGAATTTTAGTTCCGTACAGCAGCACAGCATCATTTTGAATTACTACAACTGGGTGTTTAATGCAAGCAATCACTTTCTGCAACATTTGTTTTTTGTGGCTACCAACAATTTATAAGTACTGCTGAAAGTTATGATGATAGCCTCTGCATATTGCAGTAGATATTCAGCCAAATCTACTATGAGCTGTTTTTGAAAAAATTTTGATAAGAATTAGTAATAATAAATGTTAGAATTCGATTATATTCTTTCTCATTAATGTGTTCATAAAGGTGTAGTAAATAATTTAAATGGCTTAAAGAATCTAAATCGCTTAGATCGACCTTTGAATCGAACTGACTGAGTTCCACTGCCTATTACTTATTAAGATATAAGAGTAATCTTGAGAACTCATGTCACGTAAATGAATGCATGACGATAAGTTCAGATAATAACTGAAAGTAAAACAGTCTTGTAAACAGTTTATGACCATTATTCTTCATTAATAATAAAAATGGTTGATAGTTATGTTACGTATGCACGTAAACACGTCATTTGATATGTTTGAACTATTCGAGTTTACCTTAGTCGGAAAACGACACGACAGGCTACTCTAATCCGATTGTCCCAAACCTCCATTGACTAAAAGAAGACTTGATATAAAGTAGAACTAGTATTCTACAAGCATCCAGAAAGTACGAGGTCCGAGTCCAAAAGAGAATCAGGAATCCGGGTAATGAAACGTTACAGATAATGCGTATTTATATAGTTAAGTCGATTAGGAAACAACATTGAAGTATGTGACACTGATAGTTAAGACGACCAATAGGATATTGGATGAATATCCGAATCAGTTATGAACATACATTGAAATTGTTTCTAGATAAAATGATTTAAAATTTTCACATCACTCTAAGAAAAATCACGCAGAAAATCAATATATTCAATGGCATTATGTTTAACGTACACGCTGAAGAACAGTAGATGATAAACCTTCGTCACAGAGTACAATGTAGTAACGATGATTCCAAGCTGAATTATTATGAACGTCATTTAAAAGCATTTGTTCAGTGAATGCTAACTCTTTTTCGACAGGCACCTTGAAAAAAGTTATAGTCCATCGACGATGCTGCCATGCATGATAATTTTTAGGATCATCTGAAATGACAGATCCAACAAAATCCAATTCTTCTGAACTAAGATGTGTTAAGAAGCTGGAGTCATTTTGATTCTGTTTTGATAATTTGTCTACAACCCATTGTCGATGATGCCATAACTAAACAATAAAGGAACAAAGCATTTCAAATACATTTCTTTGTAGTAGACAAATAAATGTATGCATCAAGTTATCTAATCTGTTTTATTTTCATTAAAAATAATTATGATGGTAAAATGATAATCGAACTAACAATCAAAAAATGACTGAAAACTAAAACATGAAATCTATTCTAAGCCACTTGCTTATGCATAAAACTCCCTCACAAATTAATAAACTTCAGGAAATGAGCTTGGTATTGACTGAAATACCAATAATATTTATAAGTAACTCCGTCTGGATCTCTCTTCAAGAAAATGCCCATCCCAAGTCCTGGTAGAGGAGGGTTGCACACGGTTAGTAACCCCATCTAGAAAATCACACTACAAAAAGCTGACCGAAATAAACCATCTATTTCATTCGGTCGAGGTAGTTAAAGAGTCTTCGAATGGAAGATTTGTGACCCCTCATGAATTTCCTAAATGCAAAGAACTTTTAAAAAGCTAGTAGGATTCCGTGCTTCCAATCACTCTTCGTAGCTAGAAAATAGGAGTCGAAAAGCTTGTGCATCTGGGTAGCCGTGTAAGTGCTGGTGGTGGCGTTAGTGTTGTGACCGATTTACGTGTAGTGAAAGCCAGAGTAGCTTATACCAATCTCAATCATCTTTGGAGACTTCGTGATGTTAGTCTGACTGTTTAGGGTCGGATCTATAACGCTTCGATGAGAGCAGTCTTGCAGTTTATTGGTCTGAGTAGGGAGTGCTTAACAACTCTTTATGTTTGATCACCGTTGTTTCTGAGGGAATGCCGACATATTCAGTGGCAACATCGAGTGTGTAATGAGGAAGTTCGGCAACGTGTGTTCGGAAACAGCGACGATAATTCAATTGGTGTCACCATTATGAAATATCGACTTCGCTAGCTTGGACATGTACTGCGAAATTCATCCAGCCGAATTCCACATCACACATTATTTGCCAACGCCGGACTGGTTGGGAAAGGTAGTTGGCATATAATGTGGTCTTTGTATGAAAGAAAGTAGTACTGGACTGGTATCTGATAAACCTTCATGACTTCCTGCCTGGTGTCTCAGATATGGTGCAACTCAATGGCTTGAGACTTTAGCAGACGACTTGAAATGAAAGCCAGTGGAAGTAATGCTGTAATTTCCTTTTATTTTCATCTGTGAGAGGAACTGATTAGACTGAAAGAAACCTTCCAGGTTGTTCATGATCGTGCTTATACAACCCTGGTTGTATTTTTATTACCTGAACCGTTTATCCCACTATCGCTTCCATCATTTCACTCGCATACACTAGTTTTTATCCGTTTTCGTTCGATTTTTATTAAATTCACCTTTCACTCATTTTTGCTTTACAATCTCATTTTTTATCGTTTGACGCATATATATTCGGGCACCGCCTTGTATCGACGTGTTTAAATAAATAAATAAATAAAGCAGTATAGATACGGCTGAAGTACAAAGCCAAAGTTAGTAATTGAAGATTATCTAGTAGCAGGTACCAATTCAAATGTATGAAAAGAGGTTTACTCTTTGTTTGGAATTTGATCATATTGTTCTTCTGTTAGGTGAAGAAGAAATATTATCATAAGTGATATATGATCATATATATAAAATCGTGAGAATTTCGTTCAGTAACTTAGGTCGTTTCACCTCTATGTTGAAGAAAGAATGTATTTAAACTGTGTTGATTTTTTGTTTCCTCATACCGTCTATGAAGCATCATAGGTGAAGATTTTTTACGACTTTGATTAAAAATTTGAGCTGCTATATTTGAGTTATTAACGCTTACAGATAACAGAACCAAAATGAGAACCTAACACAAATACTCAAAGAGTTTTTTGACGCAAGTTAACGGTAAAACAAACAGTAATTTTTTTGATGACTTGAGAAAGCTTATATGATTATATTTGCTCACTTTAGATAATTTTTAGATGACAGGTTAGCAAAAAGTTACATTAAGAAAAGCTAGTACGATTGGTCCTGAAAAACCGCTTTTTATACTCATTAAACAAACAGTAGTATGTTGCATGCGGAAGTAGAAGTTTAACGCTTGAAACATGCATTTAAGATTTGCACTCATTCGTCACATTTAAACTTGGGTATTTTAATACATCAAACAACCGGTCTCAATAGAAATTCTTGTAGTATTTCGTTAGTAGCCCTAGATCGAATGCGTTAGGTTTAACAAACAACTAGAAGTGTTCTTACCGGTATGTTTTAACGTTTGACAACAACCCTAATATCATGACGATATTAAATGTGAACCGAATTCAGATAAGCAGTTCTGGATTTTACTATACACAGAAGACCTGATCCGCCAATATTTTTAAGTCTATCATAAAATAAGAATGCACATACATATTTTTAATCAGAGTTATGGAGATTAGTGTTTTTACACATTTGAAGTCATCATCCAGGTTTCTAACGGTCTAACAATGAGTGGTTGATGATTTCAAATGTGTAGAATGCATATATATATATATATATATATATATATATATATATATATATATATATATATTTGTATCAGTCAGCTAAGATACAGGACTTGGGATGTACGTACACCAGTTCAAATTACTATACCACACTAGTATAGAAAGATGAAATTGTCAGTTCAAATCCCAGAGTAGTAGTAGTGGCGATAGAAAGGATTAGGGATCGATGACTGAAAGAAAATATAGATCAGTGAAATTAAAGAGCTGAGCAATTGGGAAGCTTAGAATTTGCGGGACGATAAATAATGGATGCAACTGAACAATTGTAAACATTTTTGAGCCAGGTCATACAAGTTCTCTAACAACCGATTACGGTTATCATGCTCACTCCAAACGGATAGTCTACACGTATTACTACTGTTCACTTCAATTGTGAATTACTTTGTGAACTAGCGCCATGTTTTCTTTCGCTGCTGTTAGCTTACTCTCAGCGCACTTAAAAACCAAGCATCATCGCTCATGGAGATAGTCGGTGGTTGAGCATATGTAAACTATGTTCTAACAATCTCAACCGATCAAGATACACTAACTCATGAGTCGATTTGTCATTCTTTAACGGTGACTGATATTCAAAAACAATATCGCTTAATCGATTGCCCCGCGATATAGAGAAAATGCTTCGAAGACATTGATGATCGAATACTAGAAACAAATGAATACTTTCGATTCCGGATGCCGTTTTATCTTTCGAAGTGAAAATTTTCGGGTAAGGATCGGTCTGTGTTCCTTTCTCATAAATTGGGACAATCAGTGATTGAGACCAGTCGGATGAGATTACGTCCAGTTCTCAGATTCTACCTAAGATCTCAGTCAATCTAGCTGCTAAAACTGGACCACCATCCTTAGAAATCTCAGAGGTCAATCTATCAGGACCCGCTGCTCCCCCCTGCTTCACATTTCCTATCACTTTCTCAAATTCATAAAGTGTCGGACGACTTACGTCGGTTTGCTATTCAGAATGACTGGAGATCGTGGGCAACCGAAGTGTGGCTGAAGGCCAATTGAACTGATCAATTCAATCTCCTGGATTGAGAATGAATAATAAGACCATCCTTTTCTGATATAGTCTCACTTAAATTCGGATTCCTAATACCGGTTTCCTTGATGAGTCTGAATAGTAGTCTACTGTTGCCTATTGCCGTCGCCTTTTCCATCTCCCTTGCTTTTGCTACTCACCACTGTTTGCGATCATTGCGTAGGCTTTTTATCAGCCAGTGCTTAAGCTGACTCCGCTCGTCATCACACTCACAGCCAGGCGGGATGAGCTTCCGAACATCGGTCAGTTCCGTAGGTGCTACTGAAATCCACGGCTCCTCCCTAACCTTATGGTTTACCTTAAGAGCAGATACCGCTGCTGTTTCCACAGCCTTTTTGATATCATTCCAAGCTGCATCACTTACTACATGGCTGCCTAACTGTTATCCTAGTTGTTCCTGAAATACATTATTAGCTTTATCATCATTAAGTAGAGCCCTAAGAGGTTTCCTTGAAATATTTTTCTTACGTCCAGTGAGACACAAACAAATACGCGCTCGCACTAGAGCACGGTCTGAGTCTGATACAACACAACATGCGCCAATCAAATCACCCTGGATGGTGAGGCTTTGGTGGATGTGAAATCCTCATTACCTTCATCTTTCGCTTTTTAAATTCACCTTACTGGATTATACTCCTCGAATCATATATTCGATCCCTAATTCTCTCTATTACGACTAATACTCCTACTACCTCTACTACAGAGGGTTTTGAACTGACGATTCGATCTCTCTGTGCAAATGTGTTGTCGTAAATTGAACTGATGTACATACGTATCAAATTCTACGTTCTAGCCGACTGACTGACTGAACTCATGGTACAACCATCTCAGCTGATGAAGATTCACCATTTCATTAACTGATCTTCCATCCTTACCTAGTACCCTAACCGCCGCATTGCTGACTTACTTGGTTTGCTCACATGGCTGCCTAAATGTTTCTTCTAGTTGGCTCTAGAAATATACTCTTTGCTTTGTTACCGATAGGTAGAATTATAAAGGATAACCTTACTGAGTCTCCTTTAAATTCAGTAAGCCGCAGACAAGTACTTGATCGTACTACTCTGATTCGTCATTTACACGATTCTTTATCATTCAGTCGATTACGTGTAAGTTTTTATAACATGATTAGTAACACTGCACTGTTATTAACTGAAACGCCCACCTGGTAATTTTTCGAATAATCTTCAATGAGCCCACCGACGAAACGCAGTTCACTATTTAGGTCAGGTGAAATTTCCTCAATGATCCGTCTTCTGTATTCCCAAGCTGTGTAGTTGGCGGGATTAAACAGCAATATATCAGAGGTTAATGAAAACGTTCGCTCACTACGCTCATCCTTCATTAGTACTGCACGAAAATAATCATGTGCATCAACAAATTCTTCGGAGTACGCGATATTTACTATGTTCCGACCACCATCATCCTGAGGAATCGGACTAACATCATTCCACTCTTGTCTGTCTTTGTAGAACACATACTTCTCACGATTACTCATGGGCAGCAGAAGAATGTCTAGAAAATAAAGTCATTACTAATAGCTCATCAAAAGCGAAACAATTATCTGCTTGAAAACAGTGATAAACGAGATGCATTTTGTCTAAATAACAAATAGTCGACAATCCAATAGCTAATGAAGTCAACTTATAAAACGTTGGATAACTTAGACTTGCATTTCCACTGAATACTTAAGAATGGACTCAGTATAACTATATTAAAAAGAGTAGAAATAAGAAGTTTTATTTATGTTAATTATTCTACAGAACTAATTCATTGGATTAACCATAGAACTTTCAAAATAAAATTATTTACACATGTGATAGTGACAGAATTCTATTTAGATTAACGATACCTATTATAACATAAATCAAAGTTTCTGATGAAGAAAAATGCAAACGCAGAACAATACATCCAGATAACAGGCTAATAGCTATTCTGTTAGGTCACAGTTACGATAATTCGAAAGAAAGTTTACGTAGTCGTTACTTCCCATGAGCCGCATTGTAAAATGACAGTTCTAAGATGAGCCGATTCAGCATAGAGATACATTTACTTGCGTCCGTTTGAAAGTATGTAAGTGATCGTTAGGACCCTGACTGAACGGTGATATACTATCTTTTTAATCTAGCTTAAACAAGAGTAAACAGTAGCCGTAGCTTATGGTTAAGGTCATTCAGAGTTTCTAACCATCGATTACTATCATCTCGCGGACCACAACCAGGTAGTCGACACCTACAAACGTGACTCAGTCCACTTGTCAGCGCTTTTACTTAAGGTAGTCAGAAAACTGCATTTTGTCAGCGTTTTCATCGAATAGAACCTTGTCATTAGCATACTTTAAGTCAACAAGCGAGTCTTCTGGTAGAAGGCCCACCTCTGAAAAGTCAGACGACAAAGCTAAACAAGAATGGAGAGAATTGACAGCCCTGACGAACACCACTTGAAATAAACAATTTCGATGAGAGTTCGCCATAAGCTCTAACTCGGCAGGTGAACTAATTTCTTTACAAACTTTTATTGTCAGATTTATGAGCAGCCTGGGACACTGTGCGGACGTTCGAACCGAAGTAGGTAGTTTTCATAAGCAGTCGTCGAGCCGTTGACCTAAAGGTCTAATTCATTGGAAACCGAAGTAACATAAAGACAGACGATTCCATACAGTCCGACCACATGGAACAAATTCACACGCGATCCATCAAAAATCTATTCAGGCTTCTCAGAAAAACCGGTACTAGGAATCCAAATGTAAGAGAGACTATTTCGAAAAAAACGGTCTTGTTATTATCCTGGAACTCAAATCCACAACCGGTTAGAAATCAGAGATTTCGAACTACACACTACTACTACTATATGTATATATATAGACGACATCATGAATTTTTTAACAGAAATGATTTTAGTAGAATGTCCCAAACGAAATCAAAGAAGCTTTTGCTTAATGGGATTTCCTATCTAGTAATAGTTGATCATCAATTAATGGTGCGAGATTCTAAAGTCCCAGCTAAGGAAGCCTGTTGTCCTATTTGACACAATGTCCGGAAATTAAAAGCTCCAACATGTAGTTTAGGACGGGGTTTCAGGAGACCAGGAATAACGTTTCATGAACCCGAATCGCTTGCATCAGCAGTGCAGGATGATAAAGGGATGTGAGAAGGTGGAGTCTTGGAGATAACAAAGATGTAAGGAGGTGTAAGAAGGATTTGACTGTAACCAATTAGGTCTCGTGTGTTGTTACGAGTAGGACGCTGGATGTCACTTCCAGGCTAACCATGTCGTGGAAGTGTGTTTCTTGGAGAACATGAACAGGAAGGGATATTAGCGTTGGTCCGAGACCTCGGAGCGTGACAAGTGGGCCTAAAGAACAAATGCTAGAGGCTGGTCACGAACGGCCATTTAACGAGATTTTGGAGTGTTAGTTCAGCTCTTGTTTAAAAGGCTTTACCGCCCAGAGACGGAAACCCGTGAGGTAAGGTGAGGTGTGACATTTTTTTAGAGTCAATCTTTTATATCCCCTTCCTTCCTTGTGAGAAGGCAGCATCGCTGCAGATGCTGGTTGTTCGAAGGGAACATCTTATTGCTGTCACAATCAATCCATCAGTCAACAGCAACGTAGAACTTCGTATGTACGCACGTACATCAGTTCAAGTTGCCATAGCACAATTGCACAGTAATGTAAGTGTCAATTCAAATCTAATAGAAGTAGAGGTAGTAAAAGTATTAGCAGTAATCGAAGAAACTAGGGTTGAAAGACATTATTCAAAAAATACAAATCACTAAAATAAAGTTGAGAAGTGAAAGATTAAAGTGATGAAAAATTCAGGAGATTAGAGTTAAGAGATGACAAAAACTGGATGTATCAGCGTCATTGCAAACGGTTTTCAGACATGTCATTCAGGGTCTCTAACCATCGAATACTAACATCTCGCGGACCACAACCAGGTAGTCGACACCGACCGACATCACTCAGTCATCTTGTCAGTGACTTCATGGATTTGTGCCAAGTTTTAGTTTGGCCGCCTTAGCTTTCGTCCAACCTGTTCCTACACCGAAAAATATAGCTCGACGAGGCAGTCGGTGGTTAGGCAAACGAAATACATGTCCCAACCACCTCAACTGATGAAGTTTCACTACTTCGTCTATTGACAGGCCATCCTTACTTAGCACACGTTTCCTAATAACAGCACTGCTTACTCGGTTGTCCCAGGATATACGAGCAATGCTTCTGAAGCACCTATCATCGAGAACCAGCAATCTACGAATATCCTCTACTAGTACTGGCCGTGTGCTAAAGCCATAAAGTAGAACAGAGAGAAATAATGCGCAGAAAAACTCGTCTGTTAGTCAGCAAGCAGATATTTCGCCTACACCATAAGTGACGCAGGTTGGCAAAAGCCAATCGAGCCTTCTATATCCGTTCTGAGATTTCGTCAGTCAACAGGCCATCAGCACTGATGAGACTCCCCAGATAAGTGAAGCAATCTATACGCTCGACTACTTCACTCCCTATCATTAGTTTGGGTGACGATGCAACCCAACCCCGAAGCAACATTTTGCATTTCGAGGGGGAAAACCGCATCCCGAACATGCTTGCATTGTTCATCAGGGTAGTTAGAAGACTCTTCATTTTGTCAGCGTCTTCACCAAATAGAACTATGTCATCGGCATATTCTAAGTCAACAAGTGAATCTCATGGTAGAAGGTTCACTCCTGAAAATTCAGAAGAAGATAATGTTATATCTAAAAGCATATCTACGACAAAGTTAAACAAAAACGGAGAAAGTGGACAGCCCTAACATACACCACTTGAAGTAGAGAATTCCGATGACGGTTCGCGATAAGCTATAACTCGACCAAAGGTGCTCGGGTTGAGAGCCTGTATGACGTTAATGCACTTCTTTGGTACATCTCTTTATGAAACACTGCCACAGAACCTCACGATCCACTGAGTCTAATGCCGCCTTGAGGTCCAGGAAAACAACTATTGTAGGACGCCTAAATGTGTGTCTGTGTTCCAGGACCTGTCGTAGTGTGAAAATGTGGTCAGTACAGCCACGTCCAGATCGAAAACCAACCTGGTTTTCTCTAGTCTGCTCTTCACGAGCTCTAGTTAGGCGTCCAAGTATAATCGAGGCTAACAATTTAGAAACTATAATAGTCAGATCTATTCCTCTGTGATTGTCACAACAGGACTTTCGTCCTTTCTCATAAATTGGGACAATCAGTGATTGAGACCAGTCGGATGAGATTACGTCCAGTTCTCAGATTCTACCTAAGATCTCAGTCAATCTAGCTGCTAAAACTGGACCACCATCCTTAGAAATCTCAGAGGTCAATCTATCAGGACCCGCTGCTCCCCCCTGCTTCACATTTCCTATCACTTTCTCAAATTCATAAAGTGTCGGACGACTTACGTCGGTTTGCTCAATGTATGGAGCGGAAACATGGAGAACTACCAAAGCCATCATTCAGAAGATACAAGTGTTTAATAACAGTTGTCTACGTAAAATACTTCGTATTCGTTGGCCAGACACCATCAGCAACAACGAACTGTGGGAGAGAACAAGTCAGATTCCAGTGGAAGAGGAAATCAGGAAGAAGCGGTGGAAGTGGATAGGACACACTCTACGAAAAGCACCTAACTGCGTCACGAGACAAGCCCTCACATGGAACCCTCAAGGCAAAAGGAAAAGAGGAAGGCCAAAGAATACATTACGCCGTGAAATAGAGAAAGATATGAGAGGAATGAACAAACATTGGACAGAACTGGAGGAAGAAGCCCAGGACAGAGTTGGTTGGAGAAAACTGGTGGGCGGCCTATGCTCCATTTGGGGTAACAGGCGAAAGTAAGTAAGTAAGTAAGAGTGTTTGGTTATGAAACAGACTATGGATAAAAAGAAATACACTTGTAAAAAGCAAGAGAAATAATAAATATGCAAATCACTCCAAACTAATAAACATGGTGTTCCGTTAACATTTAATAAGTTGAAGAGATGTTTGTGACCTAAACGATGAATTGGCTCTTCAGGAGGATCCGACTCAACTTCTAAGTTAAGTAAGTAACAGTGCACCAACTCCTAAGACTTCGAGGTAAGAAGTAGTCCACCTGAGACATGTTGCAGACTACGCATACAACCTCGGCAACTCACAGCTAGAGCTTTCCCAAGTTGACCCCGATCCAGGATTTTTGATACCGTAAGATCCAAAGTCTTACGCTAACTGTGACAAAAATGCCTTTTGAGGAAACCTTGCACTAGCAAAGTCGAGGCGCATTTTGAACCAGCTTGATATTAGGATAAGGATAAGAAGACACTGGAACGTATCCGAAGACAAGACACGAAATCAGTTCGAAGACTCGAATGGAATTCAACCCTTATGAAGAGCTCCTCAAAGCACCGGATCTTTACCTGCTGGAGCACAGGCATCTCAAAAGTGGGCTTCAAATGACTTATAGCATCGTAAACACTCAGGCAACCCCTAAGGTGTTTGCCTTATCTCAGCCTCAACACTAAATTTAGGCGAAGTACCCGGAAACCAGAGATACAACACCAGAATGGACTGGAGGCACACCTTTTACTCATTACCAGTGGTCCGAGTCTGAAACTTACTGCCTGTTGAGGTGGTTCTAGCACATGTCCAGGAGTCATTCAAGAAGAAACGACATTCTAAATGACTTGGGGAGTGTTTAATTCGTACTTGTGAATATCTTCGTTT